GAGTCGGGCCTGTCATCACAGTCTAGGCTTCAGTAATACAGATGGAATCTCACATTGCTTCAACAGCAGCAAGTCTTATGACAATTTTGTAAGGGGTTATTATCATTTTTATGTTGCTCATTTGATCAAAGTGCTCAGAGATAAAGGGGCCGTTCCAGGGTCAAATGGTCTAGTGTCAGTTAGTATAAACTGGGCCCTCTGCTCCAGCCCAGCTCACAGATGCTAGGCTTGCCATCCAGATGGGCAAGAAACCTTCCGGAACTGCCACACGAATTAAGAGCACTGATATACTTTGGGGATTTTTTAAAAATTCTCTATCAACTTCAATCCTATTATACTGATACAAATTTTTTTAATGCTTATGAAGAAAAGAATGTTAAACAGAGACTTCCACTGCAGCAGGTGGCCATCAGTACAACAGGCCCTTCTCTGACTTTCCCTGCACAGCACTCTGCCCAGGCTGAGCGAAGTTTTATGAGGACAGATTCCAACCACGCAATTTTCCAGGCTGGCAAAGCCCAAGTCATCTGCGAGTACTGGAGGGGAAGAATGTTTTGAGAAAATTATGCTTCCTCTTTCACCTCTCTTTCATAATATTCATCACACTCGAAGGTAATTGTTTCACATCTCTCTTCCCCGTTGAACTGTACGTTCACAAGGCAGCGACCATATCTATCTCTTCATCATTATGACCCCAGAATGTCTCATCTACTGAGTGGAGAATCATTTTCTATATGGGCAAAGGCTTGTGCCACCAGGCATAGATTGTAAGGTGCACATCTTTCAAAAAACAACACACAAAAAAAGTCAGTTAGCCTCTTTGTGACGGTATGAGTTGATGTACAAATGACACTTAGTGTCCGTAAGTACTCTGTAAGTGTATGCTATTACTACTAGAGGTATAGATCTATGTGGATTTTAAGAGCAGAGTAGAATATTGGACCACATCATTACTGGAAAGCCTTAGATGCCATTGCCAGTCCACTGATAACCTGCTCCACCAGACAAAGTGGCATTTCTTTCTAGGTGTGAAATTAGACAAATGGTCCCTTTCCTTCTGCCTCTGACCCAGGAGCCCAGATAATTAAGGTTATGAAGAGGTGCTTTGAAGTTGCTAGATGGAAAGATCAAGCGTATTTCTCCTTGAACAGGTATGAGGTACAATTAAATTACTTGACATAACCAGTGTGATAAAATGGTAGAAAGACACAGTGAAATTATATTACTGTCAATAACCCACTTACTTCTTGAATTCTTGGTGACATATCAGAAAATATTTTCCCCCAGGATCTCAGATTGATACCTTGAGAACCGCTGTCCACAAGTTTGGGAAGCTGTAATTGATAGGAAAAAAAACTTTTTTTAAATATATGGCATATATATGTAGTCCTACATACGCACACAGATGCTGTCTGAACTCCTATATGCTTGAAAAACATTTCCTCCCCTCTTTCTGACCATAGGACCTCTTCTGCAAGATTGCTTTCGGAAACAAACTTCTTTTGTCTAATTGAGAAAATCAAAGTCCTTATTTCAAGTCACCCTGCTGAGATAGTCTATCACAAATAGTTTCATGGTGACATTAAATACGCCGAAGTGATTCTGATCGCTGGTTTAGTGACACCAAACAAGACTCCTGGAGGAAGGAAAACAGAGCACAGCTGCCGGGGTGTAAAGGAAGACCGCGTGCGGAGGGCGTCCATCTGTTCACCTCGGGCTTTGTGGGTACTCTCAGGCTTCCTCGTCATTGTTGTCCCTCTATGTCCTTTCCAGGCAGGCTGTGTCCCTTCCTCTGTGCAGCACTACCCTCTCATGGAAGAGCCAGCCAACCCCAGCACCTTTCCTTTTAAAGCTGTTGCTGGCAGCCTTAAAGGGAGGGAAGTTCTCTTGCAGGTTCTCTAGCTGACGCCAGTGTTCTGGTGGCCCCGGGCGCACGCGGCAGCACAGGGCTGTTCATGTGTTTTCCACCAGGGCGGGAAATGTTGAAGTTCATAAGTCTGCTGGCTCCAAGTCCCAGAGTCTAAGGTCAACACCTTGTTTTCCGGAAATCAAGTTCAAGTCCTGAAAGAATGACTTCATTTCTTCATAGTCTCAAAAGTGATCGAATCTCTGACTCTCTGATTTTTAGGACTGAATTCTAACTTTTAAGATGGTGATTTTCAAACTCATGTTTGCATCTCGAGTAGCCCTGGAGGGGCTCTACACTTCAACAAGCTCCGTGCATAATTCTGATTCTTGTATTGTGGACCAAAAGCCACAAGCCACAACAAGCTTTGCCTTCTTATTTGCCAGTGCGGCTCTCCTGAATGATTGGTGGACCAATCTAGCTGTGGCAGTGCAGAGAAGCAGGTGGAGTTAGGCTTTGAGCAGCCCAGCCTCCTATTTCCAGCTGTGGTCCGGCTCCCCTCTCTCCTGGCTGTGGGCCCTCATATTTCCTCTGACCCTGAACTGAAGGACAGACGCATGTACACTCCTGGGGCGTTAGCATTTCGGCCTTACTTTCTAACTGTAAAATGAAAGGCTTTGTTGTGCATGAGAGCTACAAAGCAAGCAGGAGGCGGATTTTCCAGAGGAAGGAGCCCCAAAGCCACCATTGAAACTATATTCCTGAGAAGTGTCTTCTCTCCTTAGCCTTATCCCTGTGCCTACGCTTTGGTTTTGCCATGACTTCCTTTCAAACTACTTGAAAATAGCTTCAGTGTATGCTGGGCAAAGGACTTTAACTTCTGTTTTCCCATAGCAGGGAGGGTGGGGCTGAAAAGAGTAGGTAGGAAGGGAAGGGAGGAAGCTGCAGGTGAAAATGTGTGCCAATGGCAAGCTGTCACCCCGCCCTGTTCTCCCCCCCAACTCCCTCCAGTAAGATGTATTACAGATAAAAGGGATCCAAGAGGTACCTCAGTTAAATGCCATTGTGGACCTTATTTTGATTTTGATCTAAACAAACCAGCTCTAACAATCAGAGGAAGAGTGAACGTGACTGAGTATTAGGTAATATTAAGGAGTTAAGTTGTTAATTTTGTTGCGTGCGATCGTAGCATTGTGGTTTTGTTAAAATAAGTAAGTTTTTATCTGCTAGAGATACATAGGGAAGTGTGTAAGGGTGAAATGTGGTCTGTGGTTTGCTTTAAAAAAAATTCGGGAGAAAAAGAAACAGATAAGACAGAAACAGCCAAATGTTGATAATGGTTGAAGCTGGGTGATGGGTACATGGAGGTTCATTATATTCTTCTTTCTACTTTTATGTTTGTTTCTTTAATAAAAAATTTTTAAAATAAAAAGATTTTTGCATGCAAAAATAAATGAATTGCTAAATGAATGAATGATGAATTGAATGAATGAATGAATACTAAATCAATCCTCTCATTTTTCCTTCCTCACTAGATTGCCTTTGCTAAGGCTTTAATGGCTCCTCTCTCAGAACGTTTTATTGGAACAGCCTTCTTGCTGGCCCCTGTGCCTTGTCTCCTTTCTTCTAATGCACCCCCCCACGCTACAGCCTGAGTTACCTAACAGGCCAATCCAATCGTGTCACTTCTCCTGCTCAAAGATCCTCCTGGCTCCCTACTGCCTCCAGGAGAGGTCAGTCCCCGTGCTGGGCACACATGGCCTCTCGTGAGCTGGTGCATGGCTCCCTCTCTCGCCTTCTCTCTTGCATCTCCATCATCCAGACTTCTTTCTACATCTCCTCCTGTGCTGGTCCCTTTCTCATGCCTCCTGGCTCTGCACATTGTTCCCGCCCTTCTCTGCCCAGAAAGTTCTCCTCACCAAGTCTCATTCCTAACACCGTCACCACCGTGAAAGGAGACAGCGTCCCTGCGGTATACTTAGGTGACACTCCTTTTTCTGTGTTTCTTTGCTTGCCCTTGCCCCATTATATAATTTTAAGGTGCCTTGTTTATTTCCTTCTTTGTACTCTTCACCATTGGCAATTACTCCGCTGATTACTTGTCATCTGTCTCTCTTATTAGACTCTAAGCTCCACATAGACAGGGACCTTGTCTGTGTGCTGGGCACACAGTAGACACCCACTCACGCATCAAACATAAATGAATGAATACTCGTATTATAGCAGCGAGCAGACTGACTGTAAGTGTTTCTATGCTTGATACTCTGAAATATATACTCACTAAGGGTGTTAATAGGGGTTCCCCAGAGAAACAGACCCAATAGGATGCATAGACACAGGAAGAGATGTGTTATAAGGAATTGGCTCACACAGTTAGGGAGGCTGGCAAACCCCAAGACCCGCAGGGAGAGTTAGCAGCCTGGAGACCCACAAAGAGCTGGTGGGCAGGAAAAAAGCCAACGTCCCACTTCAAAGCCAGTCAGGCAGGAAGAATTCTCTCTTGCTTGGGGGGGGGATCTTCCCTCCTCCATCCTTTATTCCTGCGCTTCTTGGAAGAACTGTTCACATTCGGTGTTTCATGTCTTCACTGACACTTCCCTCTTCCCACCCTCAGCATCCTACTCAGATGCTTTCACTGGAATCCCCGGTTTTCAGGCCTCATGGATGCTTTCGGCTCTTATCTTTTCAGAACTCTCTGATTTTCCTGACACTTTTGGTCGTGTTCTTCTCCTCCATGACACTCATCTTGCCTGGCTTGCTGTCCCCTCGCTGCCTGTCCCACCAGTTCTGCCTCCACCTTCCCCTTTTGTGCTGAGGTCCGTGAGGACCTCCTCATCCTGCTCCTCTCACCCTGTACACTCTCCCTGGGTTTTCTCATCCCCCACTGTCATTTGATCAGCTGCCTTTTTGTTGACGACTTTTAAATCTGCACCTCCAACCCTCAACTGTCTGTTGGACATTTTCCCAAATCCAGCTTGTCCTAAACTGATCACATCATCTTCCTGCAAACCAGCTTCCGTTCCTGGATGCCCTTCCTCAGGTGGTGGCACTGCCTCCTGCCCACTCACCAGAGCTGGGAGCCTGGGAGTCATCCGTGATTCTGCCCCATTCCCGTCCCATCGTCAGAATCCCCAGCCTGGAGATGCAGGGACTGGTGCTGGGCCTGAGTGTGAGGTAGGGTGAGCCCTCAGACTGCAGAGAGCAGAGCCGAGAGACATCTGAAGGACTGCCTTAGGAGGAAGCTGGGATTAGGGAATGGAGCCTAAAGAAGCTGTGCGGGGGAAAATAATCAGGGTCCTAGATGATGGGGGCACCTAGGAGGGACTAGGAGCCCAGAGACACCGGAAATGGGCAGCTGTCATCCTCAGGCGTCAGCAGTCAGTCGGGCACCAGCTCCCAGTGCGTGTAACTGCTCTCTCTCCTTGGTGAGTCCGCGGTCTGTTGTCCTCGCCTGACCGTGTGCTGGAGATTGTCTGCGGCAGTATTCTGCCCCAGTGGGCATCTTCTTCCTGCCCCCTGACTTTTGTCTCCATAGGCTCTGTGCACACGCTGTCTTAGAACTCCATCCCACCTCAACTCCAACACGTTAAAGGCATTCATGCTTTTGTCTGTATCTCTGTGCACCTGTCTACACGCTGACATAGACAGGCTCCTGTACATGCATTTTTAAGGCTCTTAATTTTGCTTTTGAAATTGTTTGACCTGGACTAACTCATTTAATGAATGATCTTGTACAATATCTCACCAGTCATTGCAAACACTTAGGAACGTTTGTAAAGGGGGAAAACCTGAACTCTAAACCAGTTTTCAAATTTAAAATATCATGAATATTAAGTTTAAACATAAAGAATAATATGACCTTTCTTAAACATTCAATGTAGTGTTTATTAATTTCAATTCTAAAGCTTTTTCTTTGTATTTCAGAACCATCACCTTGTATTTGCAATTCTCAAACATTTTTGTAGGCTTCTGCAAACCCTGCTGCTCTTAGATACTATGCCTATCGCTTTAGGGCCTAATAGATGAAACAGCCAGCCCACCCATCCCACCTCGTCCCTACCCCACCCGCCTGGCCAGAGTCCACCCACCCAAAATCACCTCACCTTGTCCAGAAAGCCTTCTGCCCCCACCCCCGCTCCTCCCGTGCTCTTGCCACATGGACAGGCGCACCTCAAAGCTCCTCTTATCACTCTCAGTGCATTTATCTGTCACTTTCATATCGGTTTGCTATTATTTTTTAAGACGTGTGTCTTTCTACTACACTGTAAACTCATTATGCACAGGAATAGGCTTTATTTTGTTTTTGTATCTTCAGGGTGTGGTGCACAACAGATGCTCAAGAAACATGTGTTGTACTAATTAATACAAAAATAAATATAATCTAGAAGAAAAGAGACAGAGTCGACTGAGGTTTTAGGTTCCACGAGAGATGTGTTTACACAGTGACTTACAGGAAGGGGCCAGTCAGTTCCACCTGGGGACGGCGAA